AGATGGATGTTCCCCACACAGGGATGTGGATGTCAATTGATCCCTGAGATCAGCCGGTAACTCTGGATTGTAACTTATCGATCGTATCTTCTATTCCCGCCATGTGATCTCATCGTCTGATCGATCCAAATACCATCGCCTTCGTGAACAAAGTACCGCCGTGAAAAACAATCGATAAAATCCAACGAGCCGGCCCTCTGATTCCTCTTGTACCAAATTGTATTGTAGCCCCAATGCCTGCCTTCATGTTGTACAGCGCTGAGAAAACCGTACAATAATAATAAAATCCCACCCTGGACAATCGATTCAGTTGGATCAAATCTGATCACAGTGGACTCTGAATCGATCAGGAGGGAAATTTTTTTTTTTTTTCAGATTTAAAGGTTTTGATTGTATCGCATTATTCACAAATATCTAAACTAGTAAATATTTATAACATAAACATTTACATAAATAGTTACGTAGATAAATATGTACCTAAGTGAATAAATATTTACAAAATAAAAATGTACATAAATAAAAAAAAAAATGACATAAATAGTTACCTAGATAAAAATGTATATAAGTAAATAAATATTTAAAAAATACAAATGTACATAAATATTTACAAAATAAAAATGCACATAGGTTAAAATGTTCATAAATAATTACATAGATATAGGTAAATAAATATTTATCTACGGTATATAAAAATTTACATAAATAAAAAAAAATGACATAAATAGTTACGTAGCTAAAAATGTTCATAAGTAAATAAATATTTAAAAAATAAAAATGTACATAAATATTTACATAGATAAAAATGCACATAGATAAAAATGTACATAAATAGTTACGTAGATAATTATGTACATAAGTGAATATTTACAAAATAAAAAAAATTGTACATAAATATTTACCTATATAAAAATTTACATAAATAAAAAAAATGACATAGTTACCTAGATAAAAATGTACATAAGTAAATAAATATTTTAAAAATAAAAAACGTACATAAATATTTTACATAGATAAATATGTACATAAATAAATATTTACAAAATAAAAATGCACATAGATTAAAATGTTCATAAATAATTACGTAGATATAGGTAAATAAATATTTACCTACGGTATATAAAAATTTACATAAATAAAAAAAATGACATAAATAGTTACCTAGATAAAAATGTACATAAGTAAATAAATATTTTAAAAATAAAAATGTACATAAGTAAATAAATATTTTAAAAATAAAAATGTACATAAGTAAATAAATATTTTAAAAATAAAAATGTACATAAATATTTACATAGATAAATATGTACATAAGTAAATATTTACAAAAAATAAAAATGTACATAAATAAAAAAAAATGACGTAAATAGTTACGTAGATAAAAATGTACATAAGAAAATAAAATATTTAAAAAATAAAAATGCACATAGATAAAAATGTACATAAATAGTTACGTAGATAAAAATGTACATAAGAAAATAAAATATTTAAAAAAATAAAAATGCACATAGATAAAAATGTACATAAATAGTTACGTAGATAATTATGTACATAAGCGAATATTTACAAAATAAAAAATGTACATAAATATTTATCTATATAAATATGTATATGAATAAAAAAATTACATAAATATTTACGCAGATAAACATTTACATAAATAAATATTTTAAAAAAATTGATACAATGACTTAGTCAGTGGCATCCCTAGGTGTGGGGGGTGCGCGCCACATCGGGTGACACCTACCGCATGGGGGTGACACCGGACCCGCTCCGCGAAAAGGTAAGTTGTAAAGCAAGCTGACGATCCCCGCAGGATGGATGGGATCTGCGGATTGGGGAGCATAATGGATCGGAGTCCAATCCATTATGCTCCCCAATCCGCAGATCTGATCCATCCTGCGGGGATCGTCGGCTTGCTTTACAACTTACCTTTTCGCGGAGCGGGTCCGGTGTCACCCTGTATAGGTTGCATGCCGACGATCCCCGCAGGATGGATGGAATCTGCAGTCCGGGCGTGTCACCCCGTATAGGTTGCATGCCGATGATCCCCGCAGAAGATCCCCGCAGAATGGATCCGATCTGCAGATTAGGGATCATAATTGATCAGACTCTGATCCATTATGCTCAATCCGCAGATCTGATCCATTCTGCGGGGATCGTCGGAGGGGGTGTCACCAAGTGTTACCGCACCGGGTGACACCAACCCTAGGGACACCCCTGGAGTTAGTATGCAGTTTAGTACCTTCACTCGGACCGATCTGCAATCCCGTAAATTGTATGTGTGTGTCGGTGCCCCCGGTCCCAGCAGATATCCAGGATATATATATAGATTTGTATGGAATGTTGTACATGTGGAGAGCACAGAGTCGCCTTGTGTGCAACTTTTCTGCAGAGTCAGCAATCCCCCCCCCCTGTGCTCCCTCCCCGGTGCTCCCTCCCAATCTGCGTTGCGCACACACACAGTCCAATCTCCCGCACTCACCCTGAGTCCTCGTCTGTCTGCGCTCACTCTGATTCTCCTCTGCCAGATCGGGAGTGTACGTGTGTGCGAGTCACATGACCCCCTCCCTCCAGACTCCCCACCTAATCACTGCTGCCTTATCTGTGCCTACACAAGGACATCCCCTTTAACTCCTCCCACAACACACTACATGGAGATCCCCTCCTCCGACCGACCGCCGAGGGGCGCAGCTCGCGCTGGGCGTCTACACACGTGCGTTTCACGTGCGGTTTCAAAATCCTTCGGGGGCGGCATAATTTTTTTTTTCCCCCTTCGATTATACCGGGAGCGGGATCCGCAGGTTACCTTCACACCGAGAATAATCGCAGCGTAACGTTTGACTCTGCAGTCGGGATCAGCGATCGCGACGCAAACGCCAAAAATAGGACCGCAAAAAAAATGGCAACTTTAAGGGCCCCTTTGGCACTGGAGGATTTTTTCCTGCATTTTCACTGCGAAAAAAAAAAAAACGCAGGAGAATCGTTTACCTTTAAGACCGACTCACACCGTAGAAACGCCCTCTTCATGCATGTTTTTGCCGCGTTTAGGTGCGTTTTGCCCTTTTTTTCCCCTTTAGAACATGTGCGTTCCGGTGCATTTTTTTTAACACATTTTACCGCTCTCTAGAGCCCAAAACGCAGCATTTTTACTGATTGGGTAGTTCAAGAAAATACCACATTATGGCCACTAGATGGAGCTGATGATCCTTTAGGACCGGGTTCTAAAGTGCGTTGTGGTGCGTTTTTGATGCGTTTTACCGATTTCCAGTACAACTTTTTTTTGCCCGTTCTACTTTCTTTTTTCTGGAGCTGACGGCAGTGGTGTGAACGATGAACGAACCATCTAACCTGCTGTCCATGCGTTTTTGATGCCGAAAAAAAAAAACCTCCCACCCTGGACTACATGTGTTGTGAACCGGCCAATAGGGACAACCCCTAAAACGCACATCTAAACTTAGCCCTGAGGGCCGGGTCACGCCATATAAATGCAGTCCACATTTGTTCTGGATGCGTTTCTGCATACGCACTTTTGACCTTTGGCGTGTTTTTGATGCGTTTTTTACGCACTCCAGTGCGTTTTTGATGCTTTCCGGTTCATTTTTTCCTTTGACGTGTTTTTGATGCGTTTTTGACACATTCCAGTGCGTTTTTGATGCTTTCCGGTTCATTTTTTCCCCTCTTCTTTTTATTCAAGTTTAGGGCCGGTTCACACTCCATGCGTTTCAGTTGCTTTGTTTCTGCATCCAGAACGCACAGAAAGTCGGTGATATGGTGGTCAGTGTCATCGTTCACATCAGCGCTTGCAGTTCCAGGGCGTTCCGGATGCAGAAAAAAAAAGTAGATCATGCTGCATTTTTCCTGCACAAAACTGTACTGGAACGCGGTAAAACGCATCAAAAATGCACCGGAACGCACGTCTTTATTTCAATTGAAGAAAATGAAAGGAGAAAAAAAAATGAATCAGGAAGCATCAAAAACGCAGAAAAAAAGTAGAACAGGCTGCATTTTTCTTGCACAGAACTGCACTGGAATGCGGAAAAATGTATCAAAACGCACCAACAACTTACTGGAACGCACATGTCCCTATTTATATTGAATAAAATGAAAGGGGAAACAATTAACCAGAAAGCACCAAAAATGTCAAAAACGCTCATGCAGAAATGCATCCAGAATGCATCTGGGCCAAATTTCTATAGTGTGAGACGGCCCTGAGTTTGAAGTGGATGCTGCAATGTGGTAGAATGCATCAAAAACGCACATATCCCTATCTAAATTAAAGAAAAAGGGAGGTGAAAAAAAAAAAATGAATCGGAAAGCATCAAAAACGCACATGCAGAAACGCATGCGGAACCCATCTGGGCTGCATTTCTGTGGTGTGAACCAGACCCTTAATAGGGGGTTCCAGTGCATTTTGTTGCCTTTTTTGTGTATTTTGGTGCGTTCCAGTGCGTTTTTTAAATCAATTTCATTTTATTTAAATTAAAGAAATAGGTGAAAAAAAATGAACCGAAAAGCATCAAAAACGCATCAGAACGCATAAAAAATGCACATGTGGGAACTCATCTGGACTGCTTTTCTATGGTGTGAACCGGCCTCTTAATAGGGGGGTCCAGTGCATTTTGTTGCATTACAGTGTGATTTTGGTGCGTTCGTGGGTTTTTGGTGCATTTTGTTGCATTCCAGTGCATTTTGCTGCATTTTGGTGCATTCCAGTGCGTTTTTGGTGCATTCTAGTGTGCTTTTGGTACATTTTGGTGTATTTTTGGTGCATTTTGCTGCATTCCAGTGCATTTTTGGTGCATTCCAGTGTGTTTTTGGTGCGTTCCAGTGTGCTTTTAATGCGTTTTGCTGCATTCCAGTGCGTTTTTGGTGCATTCCAGTGTGTTTTTGGTGCGTTAGTGGGTTTTTGGTGCATTTTGCTGCATTCCAGTGCATTTTTGGCGCATTCCAGTGCATTTTTGGTGCATTTTGGTGCGTTCCAGTGTGTTGGTGCAGTCCAGTGTGCTTTTGGTACATTCCGGTGCATTTTTGGTGCATTTTTCTGCATTCCAGTGTGTTTTGCTGCATTCCAGTGCATTTTTGGTGCATTTCAGTGTGTTTTTTGGTGTGTTCCAGTGTGTTTTTGGTGCATTTTGGTGCATTCCAGTGTGCTTTTGGTACATTCTGGTGCATTTTTGGTGCATTTTGGTGTGTTCCAGTGTGTTGTTGGTTCATTTCGGTGCGTTTTTTGGTGCGTCCCAGTGCGATTTTTAAATCGATTTGATTCTGAATAAACACAGTTCTAGCGGCGGGTTACATTCGGGAACGAGCCGTGCGTCCCAGACTTGATTGTAGAATCAGAAACATTGGTGTGGCGAACCATCACTCGGACGGAGTTGTTTCTGTGACTTTCCATGCGAACCTTCCAATGTTGTCCTGGGTGCGTCCAGCTTTACAGTCCATCCACCATCTCCTACAGAAGCAATAAAAGGCGATTTACAATCCGGGAGATTTTTCTGGGGGGTGTAATGTACCCCCGGCCTGAATCTAGCGATCGCATGTAATCCGGCTGCACAGGAAGACAGGAGAGCCCTGCGTTGTATGGAGCAGCCATAGCGTGAGCGCCCCCTAGGTACTGACACCACTAGATGGTAATTAGTAGTCAGGCCGGTTAATGCAGTTAAAGGGTGACCCCCCCCCCAACACAATGCCCCCCCTATCCTGGACAAACAGCTTATCTGACATTGCAGACAAGGCAATTGTACTCCATGTAATGATCCCTCCCCTCTGTATACTCAGCCCAGACACATTGTGCCAGCCAGGGGCCCCAGACAATGACTGACCCCAGATAATAGAGGAGAACAATAGGCAGGGGGGAGCACTCACCCAAAGTAAGCATGTGGCCAGTGAAGTGAGTGCTCCCCCCTGCCTATTGTTCTCCTCTATTATCTGGGGTCAGTCATTGTCTGGGGCCCCTGGCTGGCACAATGTGTCTGGGCTGAGTATACAGAGGGGAGGGATCATTACATGGAGTACAATTGCCTTGTCTGCAATGTCAGATAAGCTGTTTGTCTAGGATAGGGGGGGCATTGTGTTGGGGGGGGTCACCCTTTAACTGCATTAACCAGCCTGACTACTAATTACCATCTAGTGGTGTCAGTACCTAGGGGGCGCTCACGCTATGGCTGCTCCATACAACGCAGGGCTCTCCTGTCATCCTGTGCAGGGGCGGACTGACAACTCATGGGGCCCCCGGGCAATAAGGGATCATGGGGCCCCCAGGCAATAGGGGATCATGGGGCTCCCGGGCAATAGGGGCGGACTGACAACTCATGGGGCCCCCAGGCAATAGGGGATCATGGGGCCCGTGTCCTTGCCCAAACTCAAAAAAGCCTATGAAAAAAGGTACCAGGGGCATCTCATGGGGCCCCCTACTGACCCCGGGCCCTCGGGCAGTGCCTGAGTTTCCAAATGGTCAGTCCGCCCCTGTGCAGCCGGATTACATGCGATCGCTAGATTCAGGCCGGGGGTACATTACACCCCCCAGAAGAATCTCCCGGATCATAAATCGCCTTTTATCGCTCCTGTAGGAGATGATGGATGGACTGTAAAGCTGGACGCACCCCGGACAACATTGGAAGGTTCGCATGGAAAGTCACAGAAACAACTCCGTCCGAGTGATGAGCGCAAATGTACCACCAATCCCGGGACTTTATGTGTTTCGGATCATCACGCCAATGTTTCTGATTCTACAATCAATATTGGGACGCACGGCTCGTTCCCGAATGTAACCCGCCGCTAGAATTGCGTTTATTCAGAATCAAATTGATTTAAAAAACGCACTGGGACGCACCAAAAACGCACTGGGACGCATAAAAAACGCACTGGGACGCACCAAAAACATACTGGGATGCATAAAAAACGCACTGGAATGCACCAAAAACGCACTAAGATGCACCAAAAACATACTGGGATGCATAAAAAACGCACTGGGACGCACATAAAAACGCACTGGGACGCACCAAAAACATACTGGGATGCATCAAAAATGCACTGGGACGCATCAAAAACGCACTGGGACGCATCAAAAACGCACTGGGACGCATCAAAAACGCACTGGGACGCATCAAAAACGCACTGGGACGCACCAAAAACGCACTGGGACGCATCAAAAACGCACTGGGACGCATCAAAAACGCACTGGGACGCATCAAAAACGCACTAAGATGCACCAAAAACGCACTGGGACGCATCAAAAACGCACTGGGACGCATCAAAAACGCACTGGGACGCATCAAAAACGCACTGGGATACACCAAAAACATACTGGAGCACACCAAAAACACATTGAAACGCACCAAAACACACTGGAATTTAGCAAAATGCACCAAAACCGCACTGGAACCCCCTATTCCAGAATGGACCGGGCAAATTTCAGATGAAATCCCTGAATTTTCTTTTTTTTTTCTGGGTCGCCACACCAATGTTTCTAATTCTACAATCAATTTTGGGACGCACACACTCGTTCCCGAATGGAAACCGCCGCTAGAATTGCATTTATTCAAAATCAAATTGATTTAAAAAACGCACTGGAACGCACCAAAAATGCACTGGGACGCATCAAAAGCAAACTGAAATGCAGCAAAATGCACCAAAAGCACACTGGAACACACCACAAACCCAGTGCGTTTTTGGTGCGTCCCAGTGCGTTTTTGGTGCGTCCCAGTGCGTTTTTAAATCAATTTGATTTTGAATAAACACAATTCTAGTGGCGTGTTTCATTCGGGAACGAGCCGTGCGTCCCAGACTTGGTTGTAGAATCAGAAACATTGGCGTGGCGATCCAGAAAAAAAAGAAGAAAATTCAGGGATTTCATCCAAAATTTGCCCGGTCCACACTGGAACACACCAAAAACACATTAGAATGCACCAAAAATGCACTGGAATGTGGCAAAATGCACCAAAAACACATCGGAATGCAGCAAACATGCACTGGAATTTACCAAAATGCACCAAAACTTCACTAGAATGCACCAAAAATGAGCTGAAACACACACAAAAAAAAAACAGACTGGAATGCACCAAAAACGCACTGGAATGCATAAAAATGCACCAGATTGCACCAAAAACACACTGGAACCCCCTATTCCAGAATGGACCGGGCAAATTTTGGATGATATCCCTGAATTTTCTTTTTTTTTTTCCTGGATCGCCACGCCAATGTTGCTAATTCTACAATCAAGTCTGGGACGCACGGCTTGTTTCCGAATAAAAACCGCCGCTAGAATTGAGTTTATTCAAAATCAAATTGATTTTAAAAACGCACTGGAACGCATTAAAAACGCACTGAAATGCACTGGAACGCATCAAGTCTGGGACGCACGGCTCGTTTCTGAATAAAAACCGCCGCTAGAATTGAGTTTATTCAAAATTAAATTGATTTTAAAAAACGCACTGGAACGCATCAAAAAACGCAATGGAACGCATTAAAAACGCACCAAAATGCACCAAGCCCACTGGAACGCATCAAAACGCACCAAGAACGCATCAAGTCTGGGACGCACGGCCCGTTTCTGAATAAAAACCGCCGCTAGAATTGAGTTTATTCAAAATCAAATTGATTTTAAAAAACGCACTGGAACTCATTAAAAACGCACTGAAATGCACCAAGTGCACTGGAACGCATCAAAACGCACTAAAAAACGTAATGGAATGCGTTAAAAATGCACCAAGCGCACTGGAACGCATCAAAACGCACCAAAAATGCATTGGAACGCGTTAAAAACCGCACCAAAATGCACCAGTTAAGGGGCCGGTTCACACCATAGAAATGCAGTCCAGAAGCGTTCCGGATGCCTTTCTATATGCGTATTTCTGACATGTACCGGTGCATTTTTTTTATGCTTTCCACTTAATTTTTTTTCTGCATCCAAAACGCACAGAAAGTTGGTGATCTGGTTGTCAGTGTCACAGTTCCCACCAGCGCTTGCAGTTCCAGTGCGTTCCGGGTGCAGAAGAAAAAAATAGAACAGGCTGAATTTTTCCTGCACAGAACTGTACTGGAACGCGGTAAAATGCATCAAAAACGCACCGAAAACGCACATGTCCCTATTTAAACTGAAGAAAAAGAGAGAGGAGGGGAATGAACCAGGAAGCATCAAAAGTGCATCGGAACGCACCAAAAATGCACATGCAGAAACATCCGGACTGCGTTTCTATAGTGTGAACCGGCCCTGAGCAGCATTTTTGCTGCAATAGAGTTCAATGGAGAATCTGCTGAAATGCGCGGTAGTGCGTTTTTGCAGCGATATTGCCGCATTTTGCATTTTTATTCTGCCCGGCAACAAGAAAATTCCACACAAAAAAAACAAACAAAATGCGGTTAAACGCATCAAAACGCATGTAGAACATGATTTCAAAGTCGGATGGTATTCCAACTTGAGGTGCGACTCGCAAGGAATCCGCCGATTGGAAGACACCGATGTCTATGGAAGTCGCAGCTCAAGTCGCTCATGTACTACTTTAGAAATTGGTGCGTCTCCCAGCAAGTCAGAATCGCAGTGATATGACCAATGCAAAGTTCGGGTTCACACTGATGTGCTGTGCGATTTTCAGCGTTTTCTGTGCGATTTCCGCGCGGCATCAGAATCGCACCCCGTTCATTAGATCCGCTGCGGGTGTGTATGTTAACAACATCCCCAAAGCCGTCCGCAAAACGCAGCGCGATGTGCAGAATCGGATCCCATGTGAATACCCGTGCGATCTGATGCTAATGCAGACCCTAAAAAGGATCCTGCACCTTCCTGGTGATTACAGCCATACAAAATGTACGGCTCCGATCGCACCGCACACAAATCGCATGTGATTGGCACAGGAACGCCGCACTGCATATATGTGAACCTAGGCTGAATGTCATCGTTCACATCAGCGCTTGCAGTTCCAATGCAGAAAAAAAAAGCAGAACAGGCGGCATTTTTCCTGCACAAAACTGGAACGCGTAAAAACGCATCAAAAACGCACATGTCCCTATTTAAATTGAAGTATAAGAGAGGGGGGAAAAATGAACCAGGAAGCACAAAAAACGCACATGCAGAAACACATCCAGACTGCGTTTCTATAGTGTGAACCGGCTCTGAG